ATTTATTTATAATATTATCTATAATTATTATATATATATATATATATATATATATGTTTATATTCTTATTGACTCTATTATTGTATATTTCATATATGATTTTTTTATATAGCTAAATAATTAAATATTAACCTTTTTCTTTTTGCGGCAATTTACTAATTCGGACTCACTTCGCTCCGAGTCAGAATTATCGATGTCCCGCCTCTCGATTTCTACCAAAACTTGGCTAAACGCTCTACTGGCCATTTGTTCCATTTCTACAAATAATCTCTGCCTTCTTCTGTACATATCATATTTTTGCTTAATTTTCCAAAGAACAGCAGCCACCAACAGTAGAGCAAGGAAGCACCTAGGCATGTAATCTCTAGTTTACAAGTAAATACTGCCTGAGGCTTAGGACAACACAAAAGCGTGGGAAATTTTGAAAAAAAAAAAATAATGAACAAAATCACAATGTTGTTGATCTTGTCAATTTATACATAACACAGATAATCAATACATTCATCTATATATTTAATTATTTTAACATGAAGTTTCAAATACTCACGTGCAAAATGTTATAAAGAATTGCTGCAAGTTGAGTTTGGAATATTGTGAAAAAGAAATTTGAATCCACACCGGCGGTTGGAAATCGTACACATATACATAGAATGTAGTCAGTGTATTATTGTTCTCACTACCGAAACCATAACCATCTTTAATAAAACGATGTTTATACATGCTGGTCGTGCAATTTGCACCAAGAATGACTGGCATTTCCGGTGTATTTCCTCTTTTCACCGTAATGTTCATTTTAGCCAGAACGGAACACGTAATGGAAAACTCTGCATCAATATCGGGTTTTGGCGGAGAATTCTTGAAATTAATCGCTCTGTATTGACGGTCCTCTTTTTTACTTAAATTGAATGTAAATTGATAATCAATAGCCAAATCGTCTATAAAAGAATTTTAAATTGAAATCTATATCTTTGAAAATATTAAATGAATGAAACAAGAGAAATATTAAAAAAAAAACTTACAAAAACAAGATCCTTTATTAGTAGGATCTCCATGATAAAGGCTAGACACGTCACATCGTTCACAATGATCTCCAATAATGCCTTTCGTTGTACAGAAACATTTACCCGTTTCACTGGTGCATTGCGTGCCTTGATTATTACAAAAACATGCTGAAACGAGAAAATATAATTTAAGAATCTATTCGAAAAATTATATTACGTAGGATAGAATGAATTTACGTTGACAAGTGGCTCCATTTAATGGATTTCCATAGTAACCAGGAATACATTTATCGCAGTGAGGTCCATAAGTTAAATTTCCACATGGTTGAATACATATGCTGCTATTTGAAAGACACTTGCTATGACCATTGCATTGACAAGCTAAAATTATAAATGTAAAGAGAATTAGTACATGCTTATACATATTGTGCAATCATCTTTAAACATCATAACCAATTTTATTATTTGATTATAATGCACTTACTAGGACATTTTGTAAAATACCATCGTTCGATTGAGCAAGTGTCCAAGCTTTTAGTACTTGGACCACGAGCTCCACCTGGCAAACACAATCCTTTTCCTGTCCCAGAACCGTCATCACACCATCCGCATCCAGGATCAGACCGACACGCTGCACAAGATGAATAAAACGTGCACCATTCCTTTCCCGTTTCCGTGGGATGACATTTTGAATCAACCGTTGTCCATTCACGACATTGTCCATAAGGGAAGCTTGCAGGATATGCATTTTTGTCCACACATCTTTTCTCATTTTGACACCAAATACAATCTGATTCTGTGCAATTTTTACAGGAAGTATAGTCCACGCATGGACTGCGACAAGAATCTATGGACAATCTTTGTGCTTGAATAGTTCCGTTTAAAATGGTCACTTGCTGTAAATATTTGTATATAGATTCATTTTTTATTTATTTTACATATATGTATAAGCATATATTTGAAGCATAATTGGTAACAAATATATTGGTTGCTTACTAACCTTGCAAAACAATTAAAATCTACCATCTAATAAATCACTATATATACAAAATTTTTTAATAAATATCTATGACTACGGAAAAAAGATGGAAGAGTGATTCTGGCAAACTATAACATAACAAGTATCCTTTTCATTTTATCTATGTGATTATAAATATGAATAATAAGATTTGAACTATCATCGAACTTGCTCTAATTGTAGCAAATAATAACTTTTATACTCAAATACTTACTTCTCGAGCTTTCGAATACGGCTTACACCGATCAGGTCCATTTGACCAAGACCAGATGCAGTGTGGATTACTAGAACACGCATGGCACGTATGCAACTGCAAACATTTAATGGCTGTGTGAGCATCACATTGTTCTAGATCGCTGATAGCCTTGGTCGGAGGTGCATTAGCGTTGTCTCGGCAAATCTCGTGCGAGCAACTCTTACCACACCATATGCAATTATATGATGTTTGTACGCAAGCCACACAATCCGTAAGCAGCTTGCATAATTCCTTATGAGATGTCATCCCGCGAGGCGGAGTGTCATCCAGACATCTCATATAAATTCCGTCATGCATGTCATCGTTAAGAAGCACATGTCGAGGTATCTTCGTGATCTGTATACATCGGTTTTCTCTTTTGTCCCACACACACTTCACGCCTGTCCTTGCATTTAAACAATGATTCTGATTTGTCAAGTGCTCACAATTTCCTGGAGTGTACCTAATAAATGTAATAAATAAATTTTTATTCTTATTCTGTTAATATCTAAAAATTTCTTTATCACTACATTATTTATTTATAGTTATAATTAATAACTATATATGATAGACGTACTGTATAAATATTCTACCTTGTCATATCAGACAACATTTGTCCATCGAATCCCCCATAGATGTACATTGACTTCTCAAACACAGTCGCACTGTGTCCATACCTGGGCAGGTCGGTCATCTCTTTGGGCATAGGAAATTGATGCCAGGAATCACAAGTGACATCATATGCGATCGTATCCGCCGAATAACATCTCGTTCCATCCGAATGTTGCGTATCGTTATGCATATTACCGCCAAAGACGATCATCAAACCACCAGAAATGAACACAGCTGTGTGAAAGAAACGAGCTGATGGGGCAGCCGTAAGCAATGTCCATTGACGAAAATTTGGATCATAGGAGTACAATCGACTAGTTAAGACCTGTGTGGTCTGCGATTCTGATACGTATCCTCCATACACATAAATGAGATTTGTCAATGCATCATAAGCAGAGCTATGCCCGTAACCACCTTTTACAGGGAATCCAATTGTGTCTACGATTTGCCATTCGCGTGTGCCTAAATGATATTCTTGGATCTCGTTCAAGTAACCATATTGAGGCGAGTATCCGAATATTACCACCATTTTTTCTTTTCTTCCATGGCTTTGTACCAGGGTTGCAGAATGTCCGGCTACCTGTGTAAAATAACGCATTAAAAACACGCGCATTCAGTATGGCTTAATATATTTGAACATTAAGAAAATTATTTAATATATTGCTAGAAAAATATTATTAGAGCTAGATGCTAAGATACAAGATTTGTATTTTTATTCATTATGCATGCATTTTCTATGAGAAAAAATATTTGATTAACATCAATTGCAACATTAATCCATTAAAGATCAAGATTGCAACATTTCATAATAATATTCTGTTTTCTTAACAGTATAATTATGCAAAAAAATTCCAACAATTTATATAATATTTTTTCTTGACTTTTTTTTTCTTTGAAGTTCTTTCATTGAAGTTTAAAAAAATTCAACTATTTATTCTTAATAGATTAAAAAGCTAAGAGGATAGAATGAAATTCTTTGAAATATTTAAATATATATTATTTTTCTGGAAAAAAGTTAAAAGCTAACTCAAAATATTATAATATATAATAAGTTTAAAAGATACAAAAATGAATTCATGAAGAAAACTATCAAATCACCTTTAGAGGACCACGCATAGTTTTGTTACTGTTGTCGTGTACGGTTACATTCTCCCAGACTTTCGCAGATACGTCAAATGCCCAGATTTCATTGGTTACCGTAGAATTAGGCAATACACCGCCATACATGAATATTTTGTCACCGAAAAGTATACACGAGTGAGCGTATCGAGGTTGAGGAACCTTGCCTTCGACGTGAGGGGTCTCCCAAACATTTCCATTGAAATCGTACACATAAATCATTTTGGCGCGATGAAAGCTTTCACCACCAACTATATATAAAGAATCTTTCCAAACGATAGAGCAATGACTAGCCGAGCCTTCAGGTGAGAAGTCAGTATAGAATACGCTCTCCCAGAATCCACGATCGCTTCTTTGGCTGCAATCAGAGCCTGAAAAAATTTAAAGTTAATAAATAATATATAATATATAATAATAATAATAAATTAATGTATAATTTTTATATAATTAAATATGTATTAAATAATATATAATTATATATAATTGTATATTGATATAATAATTTATACATATGAATTACAAATTAAATCATTTGATCTTAGAAATTAATTGGATCATTATACAATATATTAAATTTCTTTCCTTCTCTTTTTTTCAAAATTATAAATATATAAATATGCTAACATTATTACTACATTATACTAAATTATACAATTACTACATTATTGCCATTATTATTACACTCTTCCATCACGAGCTAAGCAATCTATATTCATAAATCAAAAACAACTAACTAATTATATCCTTTTTCATAAGCAAAGAAAATCATAAAATTATATATAATTATCCAATTCTCTTAGAAACATTCATAAAAATATAGAACAAGATAAACCAAGTCTTTCAAAATACATTAGCTAATTCTTTTTGATAGAAAATCTCACCCTTGAAACCATGCACACAATCACAATGATGACTCTCTCGATTACATTCGCCCTGTCCATGATTATGGGAACAGTTGTTCGGGCAAACTTGAATCTCACAGGCTTCACCGGTCCACGTGGCATCACATGTACACACACCATCAATGCAAACCCCGTGTCCAGAACAGTCGATGTGCGAATACCTGTGAATACCGAAAAATATGTACAAGAAGAAAATAGACTACACAAATCTTTTTAAGAAGTCAAGCTTTCGCATAGTGATTCTAAACGCCATGCTCTTATCGTATTTATACATAAAGATAGATTTGCCTGATTGGATTTAGACAAATATCGTTGCAAAAGAAATAATCAATGCAAGAGAAACAAATGAAGAATCATTTTAGATAATTATTTTTTATTTAACAATATACATCTAAAGTATAGTTGATCTCCAATTAAAAAAAATCTTATTGCCGTTTATTATTATTATTTAATATAAAGGGATTTCTTTTGCGTTTTAGGAAATATGAAATAAAAACAGTTTTATAAAACTAAATGTGAAGATGTTCCATATTGAAAATTTATATATAAATTTCAAATAATTGTTAAAAAAAAGAATTTTTCTTTCTTTCTAAAATTATCAAATTAATAATTAATAATAATTATATAAAAATATTTTTTTTCAATTAATGCTTTTTTTAATTTTAAGCAATAATTTTGTAAACAATTTTTTAATTCCAATAAGCTCATTATAAAAGAAATTAATCTTCTATGATGAATAAACAAATATTCTAGATAAATTTTTAAAATAAATTTAAGATTTTTCTCCAAAATATATATATATATAATTTCTAAATAAATAAAAGAAAAGAATCCAAAGAATAAGAAAAATTTTGAACAAACAATGAAAATTCACCTGCTGGGACAGGCATTGATCTTATAGCTAATATTGAAACCGCTCATGTTATAAGCGACATCCGAGTAGAAGTGAAGGAGCGCGCTTCCGGAACGGGCGATCACTTCCGGAACGCGACGTATGTGGTAGCCATCTTTGTGCATCAATCCAGAGAAGACGGCGAGCAACGGCGCTTCGACACTGTCACCGTCGTAAATGTACATATGATCCCAACCGCATTCCGTTGCGAATTGCTCCACGTGCATCCGTATAGTGGAGTTTGGACTGCTCTCGATTAGCCAAGAACACTTTACGTCCGCCGTGTAATTCCCGATACCGTCGTGGATGTTTCCTGTCGGCTCCGTCAATCTGTAAACGATAACGAAATCCTTCCATCAATTCTATAGTTGTTCGACATGAAAACATGATAGATTATTACCGATATCAATGATAAAGGGAAGCATAGAGTTGATAAAATGTACCACGATAAATTCAAATCTTTGATCAATATTATACAGATATTTATGCAAATTCATATTTGTGATAATGAATAAAAGTTTAAACACTCCCAAAATGTCGCTAATAATCTAACAGTTGAATTCGTTGATGTTAAATTCATGTAATTTAAACATTTTTAATTAAAAATTGTATAATGATAAATAAAAAAAATTGAATATAATGGAATAATAAAATGAAATAAAAATTTTTATTTAATAAATTATTTTGGTGTATGAATAATATATATTATCTATATTTTATATTAAATATAAATTTTTTTATTAACAAATACTATAGTGAATATTTAACATTATATATTTATGCATATTATATGCATTTTTTACTATTTATTTTACATAATAAATATAATACTTTGTGAATATTTTACATATATTTGCATATTATATATTCTGTATATTTTTGCATATTAAAATTTTCCATAAATGCATGAATATCTATAGTTTATTAATGATATGAAAAATATATAGATACTTATATGATAATTTTAGTTAAGTTAATTTTTAAATTTTTGAATTGAAGAATTTTCTCCAGTACTTTCCTGATTTTTCTGTGCTGTTGTTATTTTCTCTGTGATCCATTTTCTTGTTTATGCATAGCTTTTTCTTTTTTCTCTTTTTCTTTTTTTTTTTTTAGATTTAAAGAACTCAGAATTTCTGTGAAAAAAATTTTTCCTTTTATATAATTTAATAATTTAAATATTATATATTTAAATACTATATATTTAATTACTTAATTTTTAAATATTATCTCAAGGATTTGATACGATATTTTAAAATTCTTAAATAAGTGAGTTTTTAAGAACTATTTATTTATTTTTAAAATTATTTTTGTATTTTATTTGTTATACACATTATTTAAATTATAAAGATTTCATTTTAAATATATTAATTTCTGTATAATCTTCTATACAAAATTAATTTTCAATAATTTAATAATAATTATTAACAATTCAAAAAAAAATATATTATATAAATAGTTATGTAAATGATATTTACAATGATATTTTGCTACAGTTTCCAAAAAACATTAACCTCAAGAAAATAATGTCTTAGGATTATTGTACTTTCAAGAAGTTTTATTGGTTACTCCAACATCTGTCTTAAAGTTTCAAACTAGGTCGGTTCCATAGGTAACGAGTGACTTTATAAAGCGAACTAATATCGTTTCAATCCTTTGAAACGAAACAAAAGTCGACATAATAAACATTTACGAATACGTTTATAAAGTGCTTGATTAGTGAAAGTCAACTTAAAATTATCTTTACCTGATTAATTCTCTAACGACAAAAAATTTTATCTGTGAATGTATCATTGATAAAAAATTTAATCAATAAATAAAACAGTAAAAAAGTTTTCAGAAAAGTTTTATTATAATCTTTAAATAGATGTAGAAATTATTTTAAAAAAATAATCATTCTTTTCGACTTTAAAAATTTATAAAATTGTGAGAAAGGTTTATAACCTATAATTTACTCAACTCATCAATTCTTTAATATTATTAGTTAGTAAATTATCACGCAAGATGGCACCAGTAACCTAATATTCATGATATATATTGCATTACCCCATGAGATTAAATAATTGTTAGTTTTTTAACATGATTTATCTATTTAAATCGATTGTTCATTAAAATTCATTGAGATTTAACATTTAATTGATAACATTTAATTTAATAACATGCCTGGAAATTACAACTTTCGATTAATTCTGTAATTTTAAACTCTCGATAGTTCTAAAATCGATTATCTAAACGATTTTCATGAAACAAGATAACTGTGAAACATAATCGATCTATTATTGTTGAAACAATTTTGAAATGAGATAAATACGTTTCGTCTAAGTCTTACATTTGCACAATTGATTTCGATATTTTTTGAGACCAAGAATGATGACTACACAGATGATCCACAGTCATGATAATGATAACATTGAAATATGGAGACGAAACAAAGCGATGTGAAATCGAATGTGATATATGGACGACCGAGGTCACGAGAAGAGAATTATACACGATTAAAAGATTAAATCGATGAAGGATTAAGTGTGATTACAGTTGAACAATTGATACTTTTTATGTCCTTTATTGATTAGAGATTATGATATTGTGATAATGTGGAAAATTAAAAAAATTTTAATCTCATATATTGGAATATGAATCAGAATTTTGTGATACGAGTGAAATTGATTCTTTTTTTTTTTTTTTTTTTTTTTTTTTTGTAGATTAGAAGAAACTCGCATTAATATATTTTCTTATCTTTTAAATTATGAGATTTTACAAATTATAAGATTTAATATAAATAAAATTTTACAAGTGTACAAAAACATGTTTATAACCTATAACTTGTAATTTTTTAACTTACTAATATTATTAATTAATAGATTGGATAAAAGGAAAATTCTCTCTTTTTATTTTTTATTTCTTTGTTTCAAAGAATAATAGAGTTTTCTTTTATTTTATTCTTTATTTAAAAAAATTATCTTTTATTATATGAAAAGAGATTATATATTTTTATTTAATTATTCAATCTGATTTCATTAGTGTTTCAAAAATTTATGATAAAAAAAAATATACTAAATTCACAATCTTATAATTTCATTTAATTAAAAATAAATAAAATATAATTTTTATAAAATTAAGAAAAATTTAGAAAAATTTGACCAAAAAATTTTTAGCTTTCCTCATTGTTTTTAGCCCAACACAACTTGTCCCATACTAATGAGTGTCTTAAAGATACCGGAAGTCAAGAACTAGAAAAGGAACCTGCGAGAAGTTTTAACGAGGTAAACATGCAAACATCCCAGGTGACGAATTCATTTCTACACCTACATGAACAAGGGATATTGAAAAAAGATGGATTATACTAAAGATCTACACTTGAAGAATAATAATTTCAAAGAATAAATCGTGACCATGATAGACTTCCTGCTTCCTGTTTCGATTCATTCTTTATGAATATATCACGTCGTTCGATTCATTAAAACCCTGAGTGTGAATCGAAGGATATTTTGAAAGTAAGCGTGAAATATTTGTAACAAATAATTCGTTTATTGAATATTAATATAATATTTAATAACCATAACCATTTATATGGTTTCAAATATTTTATTTAATTTAATTCTTAATTTTATCGAATTTCTCCAAGATAATCTTCAATATTCAAATTAATTGTTATTTTATTTTGAAAGTTTTAACAAAAAGAAAAAAATTACTTAAAGAGTAAGTAATATTAAAAATTAATATTTCTTTCTTATAATATGATAATAACAATTTTTATTTTTAAAATTAAAATAATAAATTGTATCTCAAGTTTTTATTTTTATTACAAATAAAATATTTAATCATAAAGCATCTAAAATAAAATGATAAAGTAAAATAATATATAAAATTAGAATAAAGCAGCATCTATTAAAACACATTTCTCGGCTATGATTATGCATGATGCTTTGTAATGTCGTCGACATTGGAAAAAGAGAATTATTGACGTCGTGAAAAACATACGACTTTATCCGTAAAAGTGCGTTGAAATTGATACTGGAAACGCATTTATGTGAACGATCCCGTCCTGAAAACGGATGCGCATTGTCATCAATGACATTCGACGAATAACAATAATGACTTCCACAACGCAGAAACAGGATTAAAAAAGAGAAAAGAGGAGATAGAAAAGAAAAAAATATGAAATGTGTCAGAATCGATGCGTAACAAGCATACATTTTGCTTTACATAAATTCTTATCAGTGAATGGTAACACGTGTTACAGGCAAGATACTAGGATTATTTTTGCATAAAGAACTATTGGAAATCGGATCGAAAATGAAAATGGAGGATCTGGTTGAAGATGAATCTTTGATTAAAAGAAAAAATATATTCAAATAAAAATTTGAAATATTCAAAAAACTAAGAAGGAATATGAAAAATTCATTTTTATTTTTAGTACTTTTATATTTGTTGGTAAGTAAAAGAGATCAATTTTAATGTGATATTGGTTGAAAGAGAAAATAATTAATTATGTCTAGAAATATAAAGCTTATGAAATAAATTAATAAATTTTACGAAGATTTACAAAACCAATAAAATTATTCAACCGATTTTCATTTTATTGCGAGAAATATTTTTTAGTCCACACATTTATCACTGAAGAAAATGTCATGAGTTAAAAATCGACACTTCATGCGAAAGAGCATCGTTTTATCATTCCATCAGTCTTCAAAAGGTTAATACCCAATATTGCATTAATTCTATTATTTCTGCTAATTTTTTACGTATCAATTTAAATTATTGAATTTTGCTTTCAGTTACTGATAAATTAGTTTCTTTCAATAATGATTCTTTTTGTATCTTTGATTTGTATAATATATTTATATATTATTTTACTTTATTTTTAATGATGAAAGTAAAATGATAACTATTTCGAAACTATTATTGTTTTATTTATAGTCATGATTTATAATGATAATTTTATTTGACTTTTTAAATTGTCGCTTAAGATTTATATTTACAATTATTTATGAATGTTTTAGTATTTAGACAGAATATATCTATCTGATATTACAAATGATTTAATAATATTATCGATTTATATAATAATAGTATATTAAAATATTTTTGCAAATAAGTATTTAACAATCTGTTCGCAACGCAATCTTCAGGAAGCATTGTTCGCTTCGTCGACAGCAATTAATTCGTCTCGCGTTAATTGCGCAACGATTTCTCACAGATGCGATTATCCGCCTACGCGGTTAATAATCATTCTAAAATTCATTTATAAAATTAAAAAAATTTTATAAAAAATTTTTGAAATTTTTATAATTCTTAGATTTATATTTTTTACTTGAATTTTTCATAATTTAACCAGGAAATTTCATGCTTCGATAAAAAATTTTGGAATGAAATTTTGATTTCGATTTTTTTTATGCTTAATCATTCGATTTTTCCGTAAAATAATTCGCAAACATGAGATGAAATTCAAATTTATTTTAAACTTCAATTTATACAAACATATATATATATATATATATATATACATATTCATAATATTTTCATTATAATATACAATTTAAAAAATGAATTCTAGAAATATGACTAATCAAATATTATTATGAATATTATAACTTTTAATATTTTATAAATTTTTCACATAAAAAATTTATATATTTTTTTAAATTTTCCAGATTTCCTTCCCAACAATTAGACAAAATGTGAAAAAAGAAATTCTCATGCAAAAAAAAATTTCACGCGATAAGATACACGAGTCGCATAATTTGCGACAATTAATTCTATACGACGACAAGATTCGTCGTATATATCTGCTTCCGTGGTTTGTGTATGTTTCTCATTAGCACGAAATAATATTCTTTCAATAACGAGAAGGCGCCGGATGAGTCACGAAGAGGTTCGACGACCGACGCGCCACAGTACGGCGTAGCTCGGCCTTTATGCGAAGCCAAACGATGGAGGAAGCAAAGGACTCTATGGCTATTAAAAGAAACGTGGTAAATTAGAATAAGGGAATGTCGACGAGGGATGCAACGACACAATGGAGAATTTACGACCTGGACGTTTTGCTATTTTCCTCCTTCGTGGGATATACAAGTAAGAAACCTCCTCTTTTCTCGTTCGACACATTGTTTACCAATTGAGGAAATCAACCAATGTTACTACCGTTTCTTGACTTTAATCATCAATCCAGATAATTCCAACGGTATTGCAATCTCCAAAGGAAAACGAAGAAAAGGGACAAGTTTTTCTTTTGTTTGACTTGTATTTAATTGGCTTAATGCGTTGTTTAAGGTATCAGGATGCTGAGTCTATAGTGTTCTCTTTTTTAAGTTAGTAAATATGGTAAGTTATAAATAGTTATGTGTATTTGAAAATTCAGCAAGATGTTTGGATAATTTAAATAATTAGAATGATAGTATAGATTGAATATAAAATATGAATCATTGAAATAAAGAACTAGAAAATAAAATATTGTAAATCAATATATTAATTTTAAGAACTAATATATTGGAAAGTACGTCTTATCAAGATTCTTGTGTCAAAATAAATGAATCTAATATTTGCATATATCATATTTGTGGCTTAAGAAAAAAATTTTTAAATTTTCCGTAACAGATTGAATTTTAGGCTAAGAAATATTATGTTTATTTTATTTTAACATAATTATTATTTTTTTTAGAAACATTGAATTATATTATTAGTTAATTAAATTTGTAAATTTAATTAATAGTAAAAGATTTTTGCAATTATTTAGTATATTGGGAATTTTATTATTATTTTAACAATTACAACAAATTACAATGTTTTTTCTATATAAGCAAATGAAATTTAAATTTCAAATTAATGATTTTTTTTTCAATTTTTCTAATTATCAATCAAACGAGAATAACACTGATTTCTCACTAAACCGGAAATCAGTTGAATATCAAGTTATCATATGACATAAAGAATTCATTGTAACAATATTACTTAATATTAAAAACATCAGCATTCTGCGATCAGTCATATTTTTAAATATTTTATAATCTTGCCATTAATCATTTAACACTTTTTCTATTTCATCTTTTAATCTTTTGCGTCGTTCATTTTAAAAATTATACATATAAATGATAAAATAATTTTATAAGGAAGTCATTCAAGAAAAATGATTTAATTTATTATAATTAAATGCGTCTACAGTAGTAGATATTAAAATATTTATAATTCAACTTGAGCAAAGTTTTATTAGAAAAAAAATTTTTATCATTTCTAATGTTGCCATTATTAATAGATCCAATTGCTAAGTCATTACATTAATATCTTTTAATAATTATCCAATTTTTTCCTATTTTCGATTAAATATAATAAATGTCTTAATTCTTCTGCGATCCTATGTCCATGATTTTATTTTTATTAAAAAAAAAAAAAAAAATTGAATTTTTCAATATAAATGCAAATCTGTCGCAATACACTACTATGAATAAATCATTCACACATTATCGATATTGAACTTATCTTTGAAAAGGTTAGAATATTCTACTATTCGAAATCGAATAGTGTTAATAATAAAAGGCGAAAGTTCGTTCACCTCGCAACTCGTAAATTGAAGAATAATTTCCAATGTCCACGAAATTCCATGCTCGTTGCAGGGCCAATGCAATTTACTGAACTGGCAGAGGACTAAGAAGCGCGGGAAGAATTCGTAATGAAAGATGCGCGCGCAACATTCTTCGTAAAGGAGTGTAAAAACAATTTCAACGTCAACTCATGGCACGATGGAAATTAAGAGAAGAAAACGGGCAAAGAAGAGAAAACGGTAAAGGAACAACGATGGATATTTACGATGGAGCATTGGCGCGAACCATAAAGGGAACCACTCGAAAGAAGAAGAAGAAGAAGAAGAAGAAGACGAAGGAGAACATCTGAAGAGTGCTTGAGATTTACGAGAAAATAGAGCGTGATTCTGGAACTACGGTTGGTTGGATTTTTATGAGACTTACGGTACTAAGGAGAAGTGTAATGCTATGCGATGAAACTTTGTTCTTGAACCTTTTTTCTCTCTCTCTTTTTTCTCTGATTATTTTTTTTATTTTATTTTATTTTAAACTAATATAATTACGCAGTTGGAATAGTAAATTAAGTATACAAACATCAGGAATGAAGATTTGTATAATTTAATAATTCAATCCTCGAAGATTTCTGTTAAGGTTAATGAAAATGGGTAATAAGTACTAGAATTGAATTTTATTTTTATGATATGGTTCTGTTTTTTTTAAATAAAAATAATTGCAATAAATATTTCAACAAATATTATAATTTAGAAAAATTTTTTAATAACTAACTATGTTATTAACATGGAAAAATGACTATGTTAATAAGTATGTTAATTAGATAAACAATCAACCTCATAATTTAAAGAAATGAAGGAAGAGACCACTTGTGCATGCATAGAATTTTGTTTTCCTTCGTTTTACTAATCTTCCATTTAAATTACACCATTTAATTTAACTTGCACAATTTCTGCAGCAAAATACCAAAGCATCTACCTAGCATCTAAACAGACATCTAGATAAACCAAAAACTGATAAGCCAACAAATACGCTTCAATATAAATTAATATTCTTCTCGGTCAATTTAATTTACAATCTTATCATAAAATAAGGTCTTTTTGCTGTCCTAGGGAAATCACGACATTGATCCAATTAAGCAACTCTTATACGAAAGAAAATTGGTAAAATACGAATTAATCAACATTAAATCAAACAATGTCGTAAACGTAAAATTTCCACGTGTTTACATTTTTATACGAACTGTTTATTTCTAGATAATTATATAATTGGCTATTAAATTTGTAATCGATCGTAATAAAAAAACGTGGCGAATTTAATTACCATTCCATGTTATTCATATAAGTCTGCTATTCATGTAGATATTGTCTTCAAAGATATGGTTATTTCTTTCGATGATAGAACCCTTCTCTATTTTACTTTCGATGTTAAAATTACAATTAATATTAGAACACTCGTTTATTTTAATAACTAAATATTATTTATTTGAATCGCGATAGCTGGTTAATTTATCACTGAACAAATAATTCATATTTATTTTCGTGGCTCTCGACGATTATATTAACTTCATTCAGTACTTCTCAGTATTTGCATAGTAGCTCGAATCGATAAACGGTTGGACTTCGATTTTGTTTATTATAATTTTGTTTATTTTATTTAATAATTCAATATTTATTTATTCAATATTTAGATTATCTGATTTTAAAATATGGAATGGTTTTCTTATGGTCTGAGTATATTATTCTCCTAAAGTATCTCATACTAACAACTTCATTATTTAATTTCTATTATTATTTCAAACAATAATCAAACACTTGATAAATTTAAAATAATGTTTTGGAATTTATTTGCAAAAATTTTTATTTCAAATAAAAACTGCCTAATCATAGTATCTACGTAATCACAATTCACAAATAATATTCTATTCAACGTAACATTCGTAAAACGATTTGCATCGAAATAAAGATCACTAATAATAAAAGATCCAGTACATAAAATCTTAATCTGATATTCAAAATGAAAAGAGAAAATCGAATGATCGATCGCAAAAAATCGGTTTTAATCCAACTTCTTTACGATTCTCTTTTCATATCATCGTTGTTCCAATAGGTATTATATAAAGTTTTATCCTTCATAATTCAATGATAGGATAGAACGGATAAAAGCTAGCGGGAAACCGGCACAGTGCCACTGATTGCACCTCCGCTTCTCGAAAGGTTTGGACGTGGAAGACGTAGAAGTTCGCCAATTTTCATTCTGAGGAAAATTTATACGCCATTTTCTAGATCGACGCCGTGCAACTGGAACGTAGTCGAAATTCTTACCGGTTGTCCTGCCGGTTTTTGTCCACGCGCCGCCAGGTAGCTTCATTTCAACGAGATCGAACGGATGACCCTGCGGCGAGAGCCGTTTAAAATTCGATGGATTGAGATTGGGATCAAAGCGGATGGGACTTTCAATCAGACGTCAGATTAATAATAAAGTATATATATTAAGAATATCGAATAATGGATATTTTTAATACGATTTGAAATTATAAATTTCGTAAATTTTTGAAAATTGAATATTGATTAAGTTATAGAGGAAATTAAATAAATGATATTTTTTTTTTTAATTCAATGTAATATGTATAAATTATAAAAGGAATTGATGTTTGAATTAATTCATATTTATAGATAAATTCTGAGAAATAATTCTAAAACGTTAAAATGTGGATTGTGAAACATTGAATATTAAATTAGATATCTGGTATTATATTGAATAGAATGTTAGATCATATCAATGTATATGTCATATAATAAACGTTGACTTGAATATTTGATATTCAACCGGATTAAACGTATGCACGAATGCAGAGGACGAAGAGACGAAGGAGGAGGAGTTTATGGACCGGGTGGCATTTAGAACGCTTTCCAATTTCCCTAGACTATTACTTGGCCTCTGGAACATACACCGGTATCTACTTTGTGCTTTTGGATTGAACTAGGAGAAGTTTGAAACGGCTACAGGATCATGAGAAAATTTCTAATACGTCGAATCGTTTTTCTAATGTACCGAGAAACTTCATGGCCTGTTTGTCGAAGTAATTTTGAAAACACAATGCCACCCACGGGTATTGTTTCATTTAACATGCGTGCAAGTAATAAGTTTCGCGTTTGCACAGCACAAGAAAAAACTCACGTGTCAATTTTCTATATCGTTCCCTATTATATAAATTCAAGTTTTTGTGAACAGACATACGCAACACTATGTTGCGTGATTTAGTTTTCGTTGCGCAACATTTAATAATCTTATTCGAAATAAAATAATTATCAATGCAATTGGAAACATTCAAAGTGCAATAATCACTTTTATTCCTCATAACCTCATGTTCAACGATTCAATTATCAAAGTCCATCGACCATATAATCAGAATATTATTAAAAACAGTATTTCAAGAGATTCGAAATAAATCAATAAGGATAAAATAATCACTAAGATATTGAGAAAAAAGAAAAAAAAAATATGTTGAATAACAAAATTTAAATAAAGTAAAATTACTTTTCATAAAAAAAAAAATAATTTCTAATTTTAAATTCTTCCATTTACAAATTTAATTTCATAAATTTACGTAAATTTTAGATTCCTCTTTGAGTAGTACTTAAATCTAGATATAATTTATAAGATGCCAGATTATTTATGGTTTCTAAATGAGAGAATCCAATTATTGTGGTCAACGATTATCGAGCAGAACACTGTTTTATCATAATCGTACTAATCTTCCTATACTGTGTATTAATTACTGTTGATAACGTTTACCATCAGCCACAACAGTCCGTTTGTACTCTGCAATTTGATATCATTCATTTCACCAACTGAATCGATAACCAATGAATGCATAAGATTGTACTACAACATACCTTATTACGAGATTAATTACATCCATTCGGTGTTAATTCCAACCGAATTGGATCTCTTAATATTTTGAATTAATGAACATTCACGAGAGATTCGACTTTTATTTATAGGAATTTAATTATTAAAGTTTGTAAGAGAATCCAGAAATGTTCTTATATCGTTCGATATTTCATCATTTTTAATTCCCTTTTATTATTTCTACAAAATAATAAATGTGAGAAATTATATTATATCATGGATTATTAAAGTAAGTGGTAATTGCAAATATCAGATAGCTCGATATATTTCTTAATATATATTTCTTTTTTTGTCATGGTACTCTAAATTTTATATAATTTAGGTTCATAATTACCATAGAGAATTATACTTTAACGAAAACTGTTTCGATCAAGAAAAAGAAAGAAAATGAAAAACAACATTCGATATCAATCTAATAATCCATTAAATTTTTTTTTTTTTGATTGATCGATTAATGTTTATGACTAAAAAAAATTGATTACCAAAAATCATGATTGATTTAATCAAATGATGAATCATCAATCATTCGTAAAAATATTAATCGTCAAATATTAATCAATTTTTTATCGAAATTTAATTAAAATAAAATATCTAATATCTTATTCAGATATTAATTCCTGAAAAAGAAGTTTAATAATTAATCAAAATATCAATTGTATAATTAATTTAATTATAATTACATATAGATTAAATAAAAATTCAATTCAATTATGATTAATAATTATATATTTCAATCATAATCTCTAATATTTATTTTCATTAAATATTGCTCAATTCTGATTTGAATTTTCAAGCAGTTATGAAATACACTTTTAAGTTTGATTACACGTGACTCACTGATTCCAAAATAGAAATGGAAATCGATTTTAACAATCAATTTTTCAAGCGTTCAATTTTTCACGATTATTAAACCATATATTTCTGCAAAAAATATTAATTGATATTAATAAAAACATTAACAAATATTAGATAACAATTTTATTAGGCAACAATATAAAGACTGAAGACAAAATTAAAAAGGAAATTATAAATTTAATTTACAATGTTTATGAATTATCAGATATTATATGTGGATTACCTGGATTATTAAGTAATCATAGAAGAAAAAAGAATTTTCCAACGAATTTTCAATGAAAACGAAATTTCTGCGAACCGTAAAATTTATCGTCTGTTTATGCTTGCGTTTTGATATTATCTATATATTATATATGTATAATATTACACGATATTGTACCGAAATCGTTTCTCCATTGTTAGGAAACGGCGAGGAACTTTGTTTCTCACCTCGGCCCTTCGAGACCGCCTTTTCTTCCCTTGTTTCCGCTTGAAGAATTTCCCATGTCGGCTCGTTTACCGCCGTTGTTTCGCGTTGTTGTAACGTGTGTACTCGGGCTACCTGAAATGTTCTATATTCGTTCTATCTTCACGAAATAATACTTCGATTAGAGCGAATCGAAGTTTAGTTGCATTAACATATTGTTTCTTAGCCTCCTTCCAAACAATACATTCTATAATTAACTATAATAATCAATCTTCCCAATCAGTAAGAAATACTTGATCATTTCCTTTCAAAAATCAATATTATAATCATTGATAAAATATTGAAATTTAAGTTAAAAATTTTAAAATTGAAATTGAAAATTTTTTTATAAATAAGCGATCTTGCAAAAAGTTATTTTGCAAGTAAAAAAAACTTATAATAAAAAAGGAGAAATTAATATTAACTAATTGACACTGATAAAAGTGAAACAAATCTTGCCTGAATGAAACATTTTTGTTATTTTATATTTGATAATGTAAAAACCTAAAAAATATAATTTTTAGAATTCCATTTAATAAAATTAAAACTTAGGAATTTTTTGATTAACAATAAATTAATTAAGAGAAATCATCACGGTGTGAACTATATTGATCGTTTAACAAACTGTTTAATAAGTGTTTAGCCGTTCGCACAAGTATGAACTGCTGTCAAAACAAAAGCACGCATGTCCCTTATAATTAGCGCGCGCAATTCAAATTAGAACGAGTTACAATAGAGAGGAAATTGACTAATTTACGAACCAACATAGTCGCGTTATTGTTCATTGATTATTATACGAATTGTGTTTATATTTTAGATGAGCAACGTTATAAGAAATATTTTAACACGTTTAAAAAAAAAGATTGATTTTTCCAATACTGTGCTTTGTTACATACATATATGTAACAAGAAATACTTGACGTGCAATAAATTTGAAACGATAAATTCTTCAAGACATTGCAAATATGTGTTATGATCACATTTACAGAGAATAAGCACGATAATAGACCATTTTATGTGATATATCGTCAAGCATTTTCATCTCGTTAGTCCATGACAAGCATAGAGTAATGAATAAATAGATGCAACGATGTACCAAGCATGCACGGTTGTTTTCGTGGTTAAGAACGCCCCCTTTCTTTTCACTGTTTTGTTTCGTGTCTGTAGAAGTTCACGTTTACGTAGCCCCGGAGGCGCGGTTATTTCCAACGCCAATTATTCACGAGTACGATGAAATTTTGAAACGGCATCCTTTTGAATCCAGGTTAAGTCCGATCAATCTGCGTCGTTAAAACATCGCTACGAAGTGATCAGATATCCGACTTCAAACTTTCCACAAGTATACATCAATGTTATAATGTTTATATATATATGTATATATATGTTATGCGTTTATGAAAGCACGCGAGTGTAACATATAGTATTCATTTGTGAAACATAATCATGCATGCGTAGGCGAATCTTTAGAAATCAATGTTTAGCGAAATTATTAATCAATTATTCGACCAATATCGATGAGACTTTGGAAAGCAACATTATCATTCTTTTATTTTACTTATTATGAATGTTAATTACCAATCAACTTATGTATCTAATATGACATCATGATGAAAATTCTTAATGCATGTAAAATAATACATAAAAAAACGAAGGAATTACTAATCAAGATAATATTTGTAATGCATTTCATAAAAACTTAATCGTCATTCAAATCTTAGCGACTGTTACTAACTTTTTATTATATATCTCGACACAATGAATCAAAATACAAAACGCGACAAAGAGAGAGTTCCGTAGCGACATTCGCATTAGATTTCACCGCAATTGCTCAACATCAGGGATGCCGAGTGTACTCGAGTGCTTACGTGCAATTCTAGAATAAATATTGCACAAGCATTCTAGAATGCAGAATTTGATGTTTTGGATGAACATTCCGTCGTTGTTAACAAGAAGGGAGATTATTACGTTAAGCGCGCGTGAAAAAGCAAACCAGCCTTGACAGTGGCGGAAACCGTAATTTCCCTGCCAAGTTTAAAGCCATAGCAATCGATCGATATAAAATCTAATCTCCGGAAAATTAAATCGCGAAATGCATCGATCTAAAGTTAACCTGACTAATTTCCGCGGTCAGTGTTATCTTTAGATTTACCAATGTCCTGATTATTTGGCTCTTCATTGTCAACCAGAGCCGCAGACAATGACCGAACACTCCCCGTTCCCCTTCTTACGAAAGGCCATGAGACGCGCATACAGTAATTAAATTCAAGGAAGGCGCGCGTACGCACGTTCTCTCCAGTTTATTTACATGTCTCCTCGAAAAAAAGATTTGAAGAAAGACAATCAATTTGCTAAGAAATAAAGTCGACCTAAAAAACCATCAATACCGTTGCACGTTCGACAAAATGTACAGTTAGCCTATTTGTGTCTTCAGCCGTATAATTTTATGGATATTATTCTATCGATTCTTGTAAAAAAAACATACATTTACATTATAATTAATATAATAAGAAATTGCTATCGAAAATAAATGAGATTCGAATATTATAAGAAAGATGTGCTTGCGCATTCTATCTTACTCACTTGACTTTTCCGCCGCAAAATTGACACGCCGAACCCTGCCAACCCTCGTGGCATACGCAAGTGCCATTGACACAGTCTCCGTTGACGCAACTGTCCGTGTCGCAGGTCGTATCCGTCGTCAGCGACGATGAGGAGGAGGAGGCGGCCGCGGTTACGTGCACCACCCAACAAATCAGCGCCGCCCACAGTATTGGCCACGGCACCGCAATTACACCGCACTGATCTCGTACCACCTCACGGCACTGCCCTTTTCGACGATACTTCGATTTATATAGGAACAAAAACATCTGCACGACTTCTGCCATTTTGATAGGCTTCCATGTCAGAGACAATGGCCGACGGCGACGCACCGGACGAAATACATATGGGCACCTTCTCGCTCGCGTTTCGATGCAACTCGCTGCGCGCTGCCGAACTTGAGAGTGCGGTCGCCACCGCGCGGCTCTCACGGTGTCGCAACCACGAACTACAGTACTAATCAGACTTTTAAATAGATAGCACACTCTAAAGATGTTTTTGGTACTATTAGTTTCAACAGTTACTGGCAGATGTCGCTTACAATGTGCATATGATTGGGGAATTCTGTCTGTGTAATTTAAACTTCTTTAGGAATATAATTTTTAAAAATTAAATATCATATATCAATATTATTTATAAATCACCTATTGTTTTGATAAAAATAGATGATTTTATTATAATGTATTTATTATAATGGAATTGTTATTTAAGATATGATTTTTTTCATGAAATTTTATCGATAAGAAAGTAAGAAATTTATTTAGTTCTCAAAATTTTTTATCGATGTCAGACCAATCGATTATCGACTCGTTGATCATCCAACAGTTTTTCAGTTAATGTTAGATCTCAAATCCCTACTTTTCATGAAATTTCATTGTAGTGGATGCAATATTTAAGTGATATGTAACGTGAACAACGCAACAGTAGTAACGAAGGCAACTTCTCCTAGCATAACGATTCTCTAGTTATACGTAAACATTTGCCACTAACAGTTATAGTACTTTTTACATTTCTCCATTTCAAAATTTTTATATCACATAGGATTGCTCTCTATAAATTTTCAACATTTTTAATAATTACTCGACATATGCTTATTTAATCATACTCCAAGTCGTTGAATCTTTATTGTAAGTTGATACAACACAGAAATTTAATATATATCATATGATTATATTATTTACCCATTTACATTGTTAAATTTATTCTTACATATATTTTAAACATTATGTTTCTTTTATCTATAATTTTAAAATTTAAATATTTAGAAATTTTTTTACAAAATAGAAATATATTTTTTACTGTATTATTCTATCTATTTATCTATTCTATTTATTCTATCTATGAAATTTATCATTCTCTTTTATTTTTCAGTTTATTCTTGTGATAAAATGTTTAAATTTATATTTATATTTAATACGTTATCAGATAAATATGCCTGTTTAAATCCCATCCTCAAATTCCTGGATCCTTTTCTCGAAAAAAAAATAATGGAAAAAATCATAAAATAAAATTTGAAATCATCTTATTAAAAAAATGACAGGAAGAGGGAAAAGAAAGAGGGCAAAGAAAAAAAGATTGATGAAAATGAACTTCGTAGGGAATTAAGAAAACAAAGAAAAAGAATGTTAGAAGAGGAAGAACTAATTAAGCCACCGATAATAGAGTTACCGGAATATCCTGAAGAAATAAGGATCGGGGGCATTGAAGGGTAAGAGAGATTTTAAAAAATTTTTTGTCTTCGTCCTTTTTGATATTTTTATTTAAATCATGAAAATTTTAATAAATTCCTAATAAATTAAATTATAGTTGTAATATCAATGCAATAACAACTATAACTAGTAAATTCTTTCTTCATTAATGTACATTGATAAAATTCAATTAGAATTATCATCATACATACATTATCTGTGTTATAACATAGCATTATAAATAGCATCATATTCAAAATTTGATTTTAAAATTTATATTGTACATATCAAAATTATAAAAAATTCATATATTTATTTTTAAAAAAAATTTATTAATAATTTAAATAATTTATTTTTTGGAATAATAAATGTAGAAAAGTTGTGTAACTTATAATTGCAATCTATTTTCGAATTTTAAATCATTGATATAAATCTTCATTTTTTTGATTTACAATTTTTCTTTGTATAAATATTTTTTATATTTTTTATTTTTATATATAATCATTATAAAATATTTAATTTCATTCGATATGTTTCTCGATAACTGAAATATATATGAAAATAAATCAATTTACGATATGAAAATAAATCAATTCTATGATTATTTTAAATGATTATAACAATATACATATTATATTCTGTTCTTAAACATATATTCATATTTCTTAAACTTCTATCCATATGTGCTATTTTATTAACATTATGAATAACAATTAAAAATAAAGCTCACTGAACCATGAAGCAATGTATTAATAAATTGACATAGTAAAATAAATTTATTAATAAATTCAGTAAATTTAATTATTTTTAGCGGCGGTACTGAATCTACGCTAATCATCATCGATGGAAAAGGAAAAGTATTGACGGAAGTTAAAGGACCGAGCACTAATCATTGGGTATTAATCGAATATTTCAATAATCAATAATCATGTATTTCTCCTCCGCTAATTTATTATTCTTACATTATTTATTTTCTTATTTTTTTTATTACATATTATTTAATTTTATTTAATTATTTTTTATATTTTATATTTATTATTTCTTTATCCAGGTTCTTGGAATAGAAGAAACAAGTGCCAGAATCAACGCTATGGTGGAAATAGGAAAACAGAATATAGAAATGTCTGAAATAATTCCTTTAGATTGCTTGGTAAATATTAAAATATTAAAAAGTTATCGCAATTCGAATGAATAGTATCAATGACTAATTCGTTTTTATGATCGTATATACGATAAGCATTGTTATCATCGATAAATTGAATTAAAAAAATTGATTGGAAAAAAATAAATAGGGTCTTACTCTGAGCGGATGCGAAGAAGAAAAAACCAATCGTCTTCTTATGGAAACGATGCAACAAAAGTATCCAAATGCTGCTAAAACTTATTATATCAATTCAGATACTATGGGTAGTCTTAGAACAGCTTTAGAAAACGGTGGAATAGTTTTAATTGCTGGCACCGGTTCGAATGCCTTGATGGTCAATTTAGATGGAACAACGACAACATGTGGCGGATGGGGATATTTCATAGGGGACGAAGGCAGTGGTAAGTGGTAGAGATTGTTTGATTCGCTATAGAGGGAAATGGCCTTAAGTGATTGATATATTTGGCCGAGATTATAATATTAAAAGACTGATTTTAATTATTATCATAATATATTTTATAATTGTTATAAAAATAAATTTTTAGCTTTCTGGATTGCATATAGAGCTTGTAAATATGTATTCGATGATATAGATGATTTAGTTAAAGCACCTAAACCTATAAACTATATATGGCCAGCTATGAGATATTTTTTCAATGCAACAGATAGAAAAGAGATGCTACCGCATTTTTATAATGAGTTTGATAAAACCAATTTCGCTAAATTTGCTAAGGAAATTGTGATAGGTTGTGAAAAAAAAGATCCGCTCTGTTTACATATTCTCCAGGAAAATGGAAAATATCTTGCAAAACACGTTATAGCTCTCGCGAAAAAGGCCCATAATGTAAGTTATTCAAATTTATAAATTAAATATGAATTTTGTTTGAATATAAGGAATGATTTTTTAGGATCTCAAATTAGCTCATGGAGGATTAAAGATTATTTGCGTCGGATCAGTCTGGAAATCATGGAATTTTATGAAAGATGCTTTTATAAATGAAATCCATGAGTCTCAAGTTTTGGATGAATTAACTTTGATTCGTTTAAAAGTATCATCTGCATTGGGCGCTTGTTATCTTGCAGCTGAAAAAATCAATTGGATATTCACGAAATCCTATGAAGATAACATTGAATTGTTTTATCACTATAAGCGCGATAATTACATAAAACTTGATGTATCAAAAGATTTAATAGAAGCTGAAAATCCCCAATACGTTCTTTGTAGCATTACGAATAGGAATTAAAAATAAAAGAACAAATAACAACGATGATTATATTTTATACTCACATTTTATACATATCTCTTATAGAATATTTTTAATAACAACAAATATAAAGAAATTGCAAGCAATAAATTTATCGTTCATTATATTTATGCGTGTATAACAATTGACATTCTCATTTGATTAATTCGTTGATAAAGATTCTGTCACCACTATAGCATATCGGATATGAAATATCGATTATCCTGTTGTCTCTTTTATTTTCTTTTGATAAATTTTAAGTGATATATAAAATGTTATTGAAAACGATCTGGGAATGGGTAGTTTACTTGTTTCTATCCGTCCTTAGAATACTGGGATATTTATTCCTTCTTCTCATCAGCTTCGCATTGTTTCTTACCTCTTGTTGCCTCATCGTAATTGTAATCATGCGATTATTTGGTTATTGGCCTGAAAATGACGGCTAATTTAAAAAAGGTACTTATTTTTAAATCATATATAATCTATAAAATACAAAGTTAATTAATAATATAATAGTAAAAGGAATGAAATAATATATTTAAAGTCATATATAACAAGTATCTGAAAAATATATTTTGACTCGATATCACAATTTATTACTTACATACTAATATTTGTAACGTGAATACACATTACACAATTTATATCTTGCATTCTCTTGCTTGTATTGATTTTTTCAATTTTTATACCAAGTACTGAATTCATGTTTATCATATATAATTTTTAATTTATTTCGAAATAAAGAAATATTTTTCTTTTATATTTATAAATTCGTTAAACATGAATATAGAACTTGATACTGATATAACAAATATTTTCTCTAGATTTAACAATTTAAGGTACCTTCGTTAACATATGAACAAATATATTTATCCTCGAAAAAATGATGTGAAATGACGAAATGACCTTTATAGTTCGAACTATCTCTGAAAACTATCTTTACGGTTAGACAATCATTGGTGATATTAATATTTTACATAAAAATAAAGATTTCTTTAATTACAATAATTTTTTATATTCTATCAGAAATTAATTAAAATAATGTTCCGTTAATATCGATTAAAAAGAACTTATAATTTTTAAATTTTTAAGTTAACGAACTCAAACTAATTTCGTATCGTCCGTTTAGTTTAATCAAGAATATTTAAAAAAAAATTAAAAATTCATTTTAGCAATTAAAATAATAATTTATAGTTTCAAATCTTGAAATATAATTCTTTTCCATTTCACATCTATTATTTTTATTTTATTAATGTGATTTAAATATGAAAGAAAATAGAAATCTAAATTTATTACAGGTTTAATAATATTATATTTGTAAACCGAAATACTTTGATGTTAACAGAACATTATTGTAAATCGATATAGATATCTTAATATATGTAACTCTATATCGATATTCTGATACGAATAAACTTTTGGCGATAATATTCATGTAATTTTATGTACATTAACCTACATATATATTTGTATATTTTCAATCACAAATTCTGATTTCATATAGTTATAACGTTTCTCTTTTCAATATTATTGCTATATATTACTTGTACGAACATGCGATCTATTGACATAAATTCATAATGGTTTTATTTCTGCTATTTAGAGAAATACTAATTGAAAACATTTAATGTCTATTCATTATATTGAACACGTTCGATCAATGTTTCAAATCAAATATCTCTATAAGAAGTGGCTCTACCCTCGACGGATTTAAATTAAGATATACTCCAACAACTTCGTTGTTTAATCTATGAAGATCGGAAATTTTCTGAATTAATTTTAAAAACATGGATTTGGCTTCACATCCGGAATAAACACTTTCTAGATAGCGTCTAAGCAAGTAATAATAAGAATTCTATAAAAAAAATACATCATTAAAACTTATATAACAGATAATATTATACATAAAAAGTATTAAACTTACTTGTTCTAATTTAATTACATCATTATGCACCACTTTTGGTCTGTCAGGTGTAAATAAAGCAATTGCACTTAAAATTAAAATTATATTCTCATCTCTCCATCTTGGATCAAAACTTCTAATAAATCTTGCATGCTCTGCATAAAGATTTCCTTTTGCTTCTTTTAATACATCTACTTTTATGTTAGACATACTTTCTTGACTATGTGGTATCCACCACATATCTTTCTCAATATCATAATTAAGTGCTGATCTTAAAATCATCATTTCTGTACATCCTCCTTTTAAAAGAGCTATTTGATCTTCTTGACACATATTTTTAAACGCATTTATCTTTTTCGCCATTTTTATTAAGCGTCTAATAGCTATGGCAGTAAGATTTACAACATCTAATAGAGCTGGATCGGATTGACCAAAATTATTCTAAAATTGAATTTATCAAAAATATGTTAACATCTAAAAATATTTTTAAATCATTTTTAAAAATAATATTACCTTAAATTTACAATCTTCTCCAATTAAATTTGTTATATCTTCATCTAAAGGAGCTAATAATGCTTTATTGGCTACTATTAATTCATTTAATTTTGCTCTTTCAGCATCATTTAATATTTTTCTAGTCTCCATACCACCAAGAGTAGAATATGCTGAAAATTCTAATTTAATTGCTTCACAAAGAATAGATTCAATGGAATTCGCAGCAATTGGTATTCTGAAATATAATCCATAGATGATACATTTTAAAATAATTTTTCAAAAATATAAATTTTGACTATACCTTTGTACATCTTGAAGCACATCTTTTGTGACATCAGATAGATTTCTATTCCATTCAGAACTATTAGATTCATCACGCTGTATTTTTATACATTCTTCTTGATTCGAATTTGTAATTAAATCAGTTAAAATTGGATTTTCTATTTGTCTTTGTTTAACTTTGAATATTGGCTTAAATATATTTTGATTGGAATTATTATGATTTGGTTTCACATCATCTTTCAAATGAATATTTGTTTCTTTTTCAGATGAAACTTCCTTATCTGCAATGATTCCATTTTTTTTAAAGAATTGTGAAATTTGAGGATCTGCCTCTAATTTGCTAATAACAACAGGATCTGACATAATCTTTAAGAGTAATTCTTCATTTTGAAATATTTTCGTAATAAAACTCGAATTATTAACGAGTTTCGCGATCAAAGTAGATTCTTGTGGAAATTTATTACTAATGAAATTATCTTCCTTTGGATATGTTTCCTTGTTTTGTTTTTGACTAGATACTGCTTCTTCTGAAGAAATTTCCATATGGATTTCTGAATTCATATCTATATTTGTTCTTTTATAATGTGTTGTATGTTCAATATATTGAGAACTCTGTATAGGGCTAGAATCAAACTTATTATAACAAGATGCATTATCAAATTCAGGGGAATATTTCATAGATTCATGGTTAGTAGAAGTAAATTCAGAATTTAAGTCTAACATATTTTGATTAAACTTTTTTGAACTTATAATTGATTTTTTATCCTTTTCTAAATTATGAGGTTTAATTTTATCAAACCTTTGTTGATTTTGAGAAGGAGAATTTGAATTCATTCTCAACTTTTCTACATCAATTTCATTTTCTTCTTGAGGTGAAGAAGAATGATCATAATTTTCAAAGTTTGAATTATGAGAAGAATCTTTCATCATGTCTAGTGTTTTTGATCCACTTATAACTCCATTTTCTGGTGGACTAGAAGGACTTGGAACACTTGCAGCTGTTACTGGACTTAAACTCTCAGTTACAGTTTGTCTATTTGCATCTAAATCAGTATATTTTCTATCAGACTCCCAAAAATATGTGTCTGATGCAGTTGATGCAACTGAATTAATTGACATAGATGTATCATCAAAATTACAATCATCTAAACTCTTCTTGATTTTTGATGGTTTTGTATTCTCTAAAATTGGTCTTTTTTTTGCACGATTTTGTTCTATTTTTTGTCGTTTTAATACTTTATCTTCTTCAGACATAATATATTCCTTTCTCATGCCTATGCTAAAGCATTTATCCAAACGGCATTTTTGACAGAATCGTCTAGTGACTGGAGTAATATTACAATTCTCAGTAAATGGACATCGAAAATCCTGTGAAAATGCAAAAAATTTTAATGAATACATTAAAAAAAAAATTTTATTAGTTAGCAAACTATAATATTAATTTCTTTTCTATTGTCCCATCATTATTTGCTGTCATTATTTAATTGAAACTAAATTTTTATGTACAGTTACGCCATCTTATTATAACATTTAATTTGAATTAAAAAAAAAAAATAGATATTAATTTATCATACTCATAAGTATATTCATTGAATATCCAATATAAAAATTAATAATATCGTTATTTTATATCAAAAATAATTCATGAAAAATCTGCAAGAGAACTATCAAATTAGTCACCTTGTTTTTCAAAGCATTTCGTCGAAAGAAAGCTTTACAGCTTTCACACGAAACCGCGTTGAAATTATAACCGAGTGCGCGATCGCCACATACACCGCAAATCTTGTTCGTCTCTCTTGCTGGCTGTTCATCTTCCATTGCTTCCTCGAACAATTTCTCGAGTGATCAACACTTTATTTAACGCATCATTATTGCCGCTTAGAATTATACTTTTGTAAAAACTGATTCATGTCAGCATTGTTTTTATCGCACAGTTCGCGGAATTGATGAAACAAAATAGAATGATTTCATCGCAATTTTTACAAAACGAGTAGCATTTTTTAATTCAATGTCCCAGATTCGTGAGATATAGAAGACCTCTTGAAAAGCTTTAAGTGATGGACTAAATGGACTGCTCAATTGGCATTTAGTTACAAGCAGTTAACAGGGTAGTGCGCACAACCTGTCATGTCTTTTACTACTACATTCTCCTACCACATCATTGTCGACGATAGTGACTGACGTCATGAAAGTAACCAGATTGAAACGACTAGGGAATTTTTGAAATGCATTATTTTATATAGATCAAAAATTTATAAATTCCCGCCATTCGAATTGTATTTTTCTTGATGTTTGATAATTTACATTGATTTATCTTTGTTTCAATAATAAAGAGTCGAATTTAATATTTAAAAGACTATAAAATATAATTATGTGTTATTAAATAAATTGTAATATTATTATATTATATAAATGTAGTT